TCTCCCAGTATTCATGTGTCTATCCCTAGAAATATTTCTTATTGGTCCTGTGGGGATCGTTTAGCCAGCCCTTGGCCCAACTGCTATTGCACTGAGATAAGGTGGAATGATTAGTCCAGCCTGCGTCACATGCAAATCCTTGTGGCAGAGATGAGCCTGGCTACATGTGATTAACTTATGACTGTCATACCCACCAGTTCCATTTACAATGAGGGTATGTGAATTCTCTGAAGGAAAGAAGACTGGGCAGATGGTTACTCTAGTTTCATTGATATTTAAACTGTATTGTCAAAGAGGAATACTTTTTAAAAAAAAAAGATTTTATTTACTTTTTAATAATTAATTAATTTATTTAAAGAGCTTGAGCAGGGGGAAGGGCAGAGAGGGAGAGAGAGAATCTCAAGCAGACTCTGTGCTGAGCATGGGCCCAATGCGGGGCTCGAGCCCATGACCCTGAGATCATGACCCAAGCTGAAATCAAGATTCAGACACTTGACCGACTGAGCCACCCAGGTGCCCCAGTACTTTTTTTGTCAGATGAAGCAGTGAGGGAAAACTTACTATTTGCCATTGCAGGCAATGGGAGGCATTCTGGGATTTGAAGTAAGGGATGGAGATACACTTCCATTTTAGAGTATCACTCTAGCAGCCATGCAGAGGGACTTGCTCAGAGCCAGGACTCAGAAGCAGAGAGACTAGTGAGGACATCCCTGCAGTAATCCAGATAGAAATTGGGTGTAACAGGTAAGTGCTATGGATTGCTAAAGATACTAATGTGGAATATTCTACATGTGCAGGTGGGGAGATAAAGGAGGGAATATGAAGGTAGTAATAAAGGTTGTATTTGGGAAGCAGACGATGTGGAGAATGACAAGCAGAACCAACAGGAAGTGGTCTTTCGAGAAAGTGATGTGTCCAGGATAACTGCAATTTCTGATTTGAGTAGCGCCATTTGCTGAGATGAAGAATAGAAAGATGGGAGGCTAGGGGAGGAGGGATGGCCAAGATGATGATTAGGCAAGCGCTACATTTGAGGGAATGGGTATGAACTCTTGGCCATTGGATATGGGAATCTGGAGCTCAGAAGAGAGACCTAGGCTGAAAATCCAGATGGGGAAGTTATCAACATACCGTTGTATGGTCGATGAGACTAAAGGGAATCATGTCGTCTAACTGTCTGGAGTGGGAAGAGAGTTAGTGGTTTTGCCTTCATCCAGGGAAGCAGAAGTCTGGGGAGCAGCAGGCTAGCAGGTGAGGAGCACAGCTCAGATCTCAGCAGCCCAAGCAGGCGATACCAGGAACCCAACAGTGTCGTACTGGAACTTGCTGGACATTGACTCATAATTGATTCTATACAGAGGCTGACTGCACGTCGTACCTCTTTTGTTGGGTTCGTAGTGACCTCAGGACCTAACCCCATCACTGTGGGAGCAGACTCAACTCACCAAAGATTCCTCTAACAGCCGTTGATGAACAAAGGGTCCTTGGGACGGGGCCAAGCCTGAGTCTGCAGCAGACAGAACACAAATGTGAACATGCTGATGCTGGTGCCTGGTTGTGTATATTAACAACTGTTTGGTTTTGAGTTTTAACCTAATAAGGAGTTTCCTCAGAGAAAATATGAATACGGCACCAGTGGGGAACTACTGCTTTCCCACTGTTGCCCATTCCTGCACCAGCATGCTTTGGTCTGTGTGGCTGAAAGCCAAGACCCTGCCTTGCCTACCCGCCCTAGATCCTATTAGTCCTGAGTCTCGTCAGCTCTGGTTCTTGTATTTGTCCTTTTCTTTCCGTTCTGATCGGAACAGCTCTAAGCTACAGTGGGCTTGTTAGCTTATCCATCCCCACCACATTGCAACATCCTCCTAAGACACTTAATGATCTTTTCATCCAGAGGCCAGCAAATTCTGACTACAGGCTAAATCTGGCCTGCCACCTCTGTTTGTAAATAAAGGTTTATTAGAACACAGTCACACTCGGGGTGCCTGGGTGGCTCAGTCAATTAGGTGTCTGCCTTTGGGTCAGGTTATGGTCCCAGGGTCCTGGGATTAAGCCTTGTGTCGGGCTCCCTGCTTAGTGGGGAGACTGCTTCTCCCTCACCCCCTGCTTGTGCTGTCTGTCTCTCAAATTACTAAAATCTTTTTAAAAAAGAAGAGAACCATACTCATTCATTTATATATTATCTAAGGCCATTTTTGCACTGCAGTGATAGCTTTGAGTAGTTGCAACAGAGATTGTATGTTCTACAAAACCTAAAACATTTCCTGTCTGGACCTTTATAGAAAAAGCATCCCGTCCCCCTATTAATCCATCCTATACACCAGTGCCAGATTAATGTTCCCAAAATGCCATTTTACCATATCACTCTCTTGCTTAGAACCCTGCAATATGCCATTGCCTATAGAATAAAATCCAAACTTCTTGGCCTGGCATTCAAGGCCCTCAATGGTCTAGTCCTAGCCAATCTTTTGAACCATTGATCTCTATTCCAAAGAGCCAGCCCTACACTTCAGATAGATTTCCCTCCTCACTGTCCCTGGAATGTGCAGGGACATTTCTACCCTTGTTCACACATTCCCTTTCCCTGGAATGTGCGCCCCATTAATTTATATCTACCTAATTCCTACCCATTTTTAATGAACTAACTTAAAACCTGCATCTTTCTGATCATGTCTGTTCACAGTGACCACCAGTGAGTCTACTGCTTGGGGATATAAAATTTCACTGTTTATACCATCGGGAATATTTTTTCTATTCAAGGCATAGTTCACTCATATCATGGTGGGCAACTCTGGAGTGAGGATTTTCTATATGAACAAAGACCCAGAGGTGGGAAAGCCTAGGTTTGCAAATGACCAGACGTGTAATTAGAATACTGGCTTAGCGCATTCAGGTTCTATAACAAAATACCATAGACTGAATTTGTTTTCCACAGTTCTGGAGGTTGGGAAGCCCAAGATCAAGGCACTGGCAAATTCCGTGTCTGGTGGGGGCCTGCTTCCTGGTTCAGAGACAATTGTCTTTTCACTGTGTCCTCACATGGTAGAAGGGGCAAAAGAGTTCTCTGGGGTTTCTCATATAAGGGCACACTAGTCCCATTCAGGAGGGATCCAATCTCATCACCTCATCACCTCCCAAAGGTCCCCACCTCCTAATTACTGTCACTTTGGCGATTAGGTTTTAACATACGGATTTAGGGGGAGGACATAAGCGTTCAGTCTATAACAAACACGTAGCACACAGTTTCACATGCATGAAAGTATTGTGTCTCTGCATCATGTGTCCGTGACATACTACCTCTTGGATCTGGATTTAAATTTGGACCACTACATATCTGGATAGCCAGTGGGAGCGAACGATAAAGTCCCGTGAGCCTACTCTTGAGGGGCTAGAGTAGCTAGGATATAGACATGGTGGCTGGTTCTGGAAGTCCTTGCTTTGTCATGTGGCACTTCTGAGGCACTGGATGGGGGGGCTCTTCTCATTAGGCCTCACTTTCCCATCCACTGTCATATATTATATGTTCTTACACATTCTCTGGGATTAGGCAGCGTCCATAATGCACCACTGATCGGAGTTCTTTGGTAAATGGTTAACTTCTTGGGCCTCACTTTGGCAGGGAGGTTATATCCCTGACTCGGATATCATGTCTCCCAGCGGCTTGAGATTATAAACTAATATTTCTTACAAGTCTGTGCATTGCACAGAGGAGCTTGGTTGTAACACAAATCATAGCTGTGTTGACTTGAATAGAAAACATAGCAACTCCTTCTGTTAGCACAGAGCCCAGCAGCCAGCCTTCCACAGTATCGTCTCCTCCAGAGTTTGGCTGTTCTATTGTCGGATGCCACTCTGTCTGTCTAGCAAGTTTCTCCCTGCATATGTGAGTCAAGGAAAATAATCCAGTGCCGTAAATGTCTCAGCAGACCTCCCCACTGTGCACTTTGGAAACAAAACGTGGAACAAGTAAGCTGTCATTAAAGGCAGGCCTTTCTGTTCTTAAATCAGTCACGTTTATATGATGTCTCTTGTCTGCATTTGAGAAGTGTGGGGAAGAAGAGCATTAAGTGTGCACTCCAGTGGAAAGGTTATGCTCTGAATACAGGGGAATTACCTCCCTTTAGAGCCGGCATCTAGGCATTACCTAGAAGTAAACACGTGGCAATAAGTATAAGAACAAATAACGTTTATTGAGCATTTACTATGTGCCGGACTGCTGTTCCAAATCCTTTACATTATCATCTCATTGAAACCACGCCCCAACCATATGGTTTAGGTACAAATTATGATCTCCTCTTTATGTGAGAGAAGGTGTGGACCCAGGGAGGTTAAAAGAACTTGCCAGAGGTCACACAGGTAGCAAATGGCAGAGCTGGGAGTTGGATCCAGGCAGACCAACTTCAGATTTCATATTTAACATAACCTCAGGGAGCCCCACCCACATGCAGTGCTCCCCCCCCCCCACCCCGAGACTAGTTTCAGCAAAGACCACCCATCTAATTTGCATTGTTTGTGAAGTCGAAAGGGATGATTTGTCCTACGAAATTGGAAATTGTGTTGGATTACATGTGTATGTGATTTCGATGAGAGAAAGCTAACCCTAGAATCCCCACTGTTTCATTCTGTCATCTTTGCAGTTTATAACAACCTTTATCTTTTCGATGGAGACATTTTTATTCTTTGTCTCCAAATTAACACTGCATAGAACATGACTCTGTGAGTGTGTGTGTGTGTGTGTGTGTGTGTGTGGAAACCGCCTTTTCTTCTGGATGAAATTGCTGCAGCCTGGCTGACGGAGGAGACTCTCCCACTCGCCGAGCCCACAGCAGGCATGTTAGGGAGAAAGCTCCTGGAGGCGGAGAGGCAGGTGACACTGTGTGTGTGCCCAGCGTCTCTGTGAGTGTCTCTACAGATGTGTGCGGCTGCCACTGCTTCCAGCCTTAAAATTCCTGGAGCCAACACCCACCTACTCTTACAGCCTCTCTCTCTTTATTTTCAAGGAAAAAAGAAAGAGGCAGACTGAAATAGAAGGCAAGCGGCAGGAACTTGACGAGCAGATACTTCTGCTGCAGCATTCCAAGGTAAGTGGCTGATCCCGCGAACCTATTCCATTATTAGACATGCAGATCACACTCCAGAGAGCTGGGCAGAGCCTGCCCTGGCGTGAAGGCATTGCCGCCGACTGCGCTAGCCCTTTCTCCTTTAGTCAGGAAACCATCTCTTGGCTTTTCTTGTGAATTTCTCCAATGCAGGGCATTGTTACAGCATTCCAGTTTCTGCAAGCATGAGGAGATTACAGTGTGCATGTGGACGGGTTTGGGGGCTGGTGTGTGCATGTGAAATGTGGTGGTTATATATGGAAATTGGATGGGAATTTCCACATGGTGGGCGAGGCAGTGTTCCAGGGCTGCATCCCCAGTGCATTAGGTGCTGAGCATGTGTCTGTTCAGAGCTTCCAAAGGACACATTGAACGTACTGTTCTTTTATAGATTAAAAATCTGAGTATTTTCTTTCTTGATATGGAGAAACGGGAGATAAAAGCACTGTGCTCTGATAAAAGAGCAACCCTGTGTATTTCCCGTGATTCATTCGTTTTGTTTCTACTTTCACAATTTTGGAAGTATTCTCTTAGAACGAGCAGTTGGCCGAGAGATGGCATTGAAATGATTTGACTTGGTTGGGTCTCCGTTGGACAGAGAGAGAGAGATGTTTCATTATTTATTTTTCTTTAAAACATAAGGCACTTAAGCATCATAATTGATTACAGCCTACGAGAAAGCTCTGTCACTGTCACAAGGACTCCACGGGCTATAGCATGTTGCTTTCAACAGGCTTGCAGCATATTGTGAACACATTCCAGTGACCAGCTGGGAGTTGCTGCATGCCTTCTACTGCTCTGGGCTTTTTTTTAGGAAAACCTTCTCCTGCTCAACTCAAGTTGCTGTGACAGTCATGTACAGATTTGCATTGCTCAGAGGGCTGGTGGGGAAGGTGGGGCTAACTTCAGGGTGATGCTAGGTATAGATAGTTTAGATTCTTTTAAACAAGATGAGTCTTTATGATTGTATTTCCCATTCTTCTCTAGAAGATAGGGTGGTGCTAAATGAATCCTTAAGATGAGAATTATCAGCAAGCTGGTTTCAAAGAGCAGCATGACCTAAATCCGCTTAGCATATTTATCAGTTTACTATCAACTTTAACCAGAGAAATGTGTTTAAAAGGAAGAACAATAGCATGATACTGAGAATATTGCCCACTTATTTTTGCTCTTGTAAATCCATTTATGGACCTTTCTTTGTAGGAGCTTACACTATATCCCATATGCTGTTACTCTCTCCTTACAACATTCCTGAGGAAGCATTGAGGGCTAAAGTTAGTATTTTCTTCTTACAGAGAGGGGGACTTAAAAACACTTAATAGAACCAAGTGAATTTTTCAAGGTCAATCTGGACAGAGCTGGGACTCTGGCTCAGAGTACAGTCAACTCACTCCTTATGAGAGACCAAAATGTACTAACACCTCAGTGAATTCTAGGTTTAAGGTGGATTTTTTTTTATGAAGGAGACTGAAAAAATGAGAGGCTTTTTTGACTAGACAGCCCCTCTTCCCTTTAAGCTCAACATGGTTCTTTGCTTTTGCTTTCCTTGAATCAAAAGGCAATAAACATATGTCAGAAGATTAAGTTTCTTTTGTCCCAACTTCTTATCATTCTGGATGCCAGATAAGATACCAAGGACTCATTCATTGCTGATGTCCAGCACAGTATCCATCCATGTATCCATTCATCCATGTATCCATCCATCCATCCATCCATCCATCCATGTATCCATCTATCCATCCATCCATCCATGTATCCAGCCACCCAATCAACAGAAATAACAGTAAAGAGGACTTAGTATTGCATGTAGAAGCAGTGAGACTCCTTCAGAGACTTGGAAACAAGGGAATCAGATAGTTCTTTATGGTTATCCTGGTAAAATCCTCACATTGTTGATAAAATTGGCTATCTAAGGGAACACCCAGCACTTTCACCTAAGTAATCTTCCTATAACCTGGAGAGAAAAGACTGGAAGTGATGGCAATTTAGTAAGTGGAGACCAATGGGTTGTAATTCTCTCTCTCTGGAAGGCCCATGTAGACAGAATGAGGGTGGATCAGTAACCTTGAACAATGAAAGCAAAACCAAAAACAACCTCAGAGGTCCCAAAGGTGGTTTATCTGGACTTCCCTGGAGAAACTCCAGCTCTGCAGGTACCAAGTTTCTATGCTCTGGGGAGGTGGGGTCTGAGGTAAGCAAGGAGTGGATCAGGTGAAACTTTTCTCATGACTCTGCCTCTCTTTGTTCTGAGTCCATCATTCCCAAAATAACTGAGTTATTTTGGTGGTGCCTGACTGGGAGATATGATCACTTCAGGCACCAGAAAAGAATATGCTCTACTTTCAATCAGTTAGCTGTTGACTGAACTTGAATAGCGTGAGTCATCTTCCCTGTGATCATTCAGTTTTGAGCTTGACAGCCTCACCCGTGGATGTTAGTAAATTCATTGAGGTGATAGTTCCTCTGTGAGCCTCTTGGTAGAGACTCAGCCAGCTTTGTCCTGGATGCATGGCAGCCTTGTCATCCCTTGTCCATCCTCGATAATAGTCATATTTTTGAGTGCCTACTGTGGGCCTGGTACTGTAAATACGTCCCCTCAATAATGGCCACAAAATTCGTCACTGACTTAAATGGCCACTTTCCCTGTCTCACAGGTGAGGAAACAAACTCGTGAGGTCAAGTCATTTGCCCAAGAACATAGAGACGATAAGCAAGGGAACCCTGGTTGAATGCTAGGGCTTGTCTGCCTCCAAAACCAAGCCTTCTCTAGGACACTGTTTTCTTTAAATGAAATGTTCCATTTTGAATAATTTGTCTAGAGAGATGCCAATTACCATCATCATTGTCTCTTTACTGTAAGTTATACTTTAATGGACTCCAGAAAATTTAGACCATGTGGAGACATTATTGATTATTGGCAGTTCCTATAAGTAGAAAATATTAAGAACTATGCCAACAATATTTATTTAACTAATTTATAAAATCTAGGATGCTCCCTAATATATATATATATATATATGCTTAGTGCAAAGTTAAATGGAAAAGCATTAGAATTAGATTTCATATTTATTAAGATATAATTCTCATTGTCAAATAGTCTATAGACACTTATTCTCATGCAATGAGGTATGAATTATTTAGATAGACTTACTGGTCTCTTGTCAAAGCAAATAAATAGAATGCAAGACAATAGTTTTGATGCTTTTTTGATTAATATTCTTGGTAATTGTGATATTTAGGATTATGCAGTGAGCAATGCCACAAAACGGAATATTCTTACTTTATATATGGACAATTAACAAATTCTGCAATGCAATAAAAGACCCAAGTACTGAAAGAGCTTCTACACTCCAGCGATTAGGAAACCTCCAAGTACTTTGAAGTCCTCGCCAAATTAAACTCAGATTTCTTTTTACAAGAGACTTAGCTATATTTAGTATTTAATATTTATGATGTAAGAATTTCCAAGAAGTGCTCACATATCGGATCAGTAAGCAATTTTAATAGCTGAATTATTTTTGCTGTTTATAAGAGAAAGGAATGCATGATCACTGCAAAAGCAAAATTTTAAAGTACAGGAAAATATAAAGAAAAAAAGCATATCAACTGTATACTGGTCACCCAGATATAACTCCCACAGAGGTATATTCTTCTATGCTTTTTCTCTAGTATATTTTTATAGATTAAGCTTTGTGACCCTTGTTCATAGGCCTCATCAGCTGGTGATGAAAATGAAATGATATTAAACATTCAGGTCCAAAATACATTCACCTTTGCCTCTTTTTTTGATTTTGGCGTATGGGCTGTTTTAAATTCTCATAAAAGGGGTGCCTGGGTGGCTCAGTCGGTTAAGCATCTGCCTTCGGCTCAGGTCATGATCTTGGGGTCCTGGGATCAAGTCCTAGGATCCAGCCCCATGTCAGGCTCCCTGCTCAGTGGGGAGTCTACTTCTCCCTCTCCCTTCCCCACCCGCCCCGCCGCTTGCGCTCTCTGTCTCTCAAATAAATAAATTAATTAATAAAATCTCATGCAAAACTTTGTAATTTTTGTGACATCACATCTAACATTCTTTTGCTTTATGATTTCTGACTTTGATATGGTTCTTGCAAAGAACATCTCAAAAACTTACCTAGGATGTGTCTTGTCCTTCAATAGTTTTAACCCACCTAGAATTTATTTTTCTATATGAAATAAGGTAGGAATGACTTTACTTTTTATCGACGGGGAGCCAGTTGCCTCAACGTGATTTATTGATTAATTCATTCTTTTCCTCACTGACTTAAATGTCTTCTTTATCATATACATATTTCTCCCTTATACTCGAGTCCACCATTTGTGGATTCTTCTTATTCCATGAATCTGCCACTCCTGTGCTAATACCATCCTCATCTAATCCCTCTGGCTTTTTAAATATATAATATGTATTAATAATATGTCATAAGGCAAGAGCCATCATTATTCTTCTGTTGAAAAATTGTCTTGGCTTTGTATTCTATGGAAACAATTATTTATTTGCATCGTTTTTATTATGTGACTTGTGATAATGTGAGTTTAAAAAATAAATCAACTATTATATTATACCAGGCAGACTAAACTTAATATTCCCTTTGCTCTGTTGGTTGAATTACCAGAGATTTGTCTATTTTATTGGTCAGCCCAAGGTCCCAGCAAGAGTAGGCAGAGTGTATGTATTGCCACATGAATCCCTTTGGAACTGTCACCATTATAAAGGTCTGTATGACAGGGTCAGCACTGTCAGAATCAAATTGCTAATATCCTATCTTCAATACATAAGCTGCCTTTGAATTATTTATTTATGTGCAGGGAACCCTGACTAGAGTTGTTTTTTTTTTTCTAATCCAAGCTATGAAAATTGTCATTATATTTTAAAAACCACAACCTTTTCTTTCAAAAAGACTGAATGGAAGAAAAAAATCAAAGACTGAATTGTGGCCCTACAAGATATTTATTGTCAACTCACC